CTGTGGCCGCAGCAGCCTGGGGAGGGCCGCGCTGGGCCTGCTTTCAGAGCGGGCGGGGTGGGGCTTCCTTCCGGACTCTCCTGAGGACTGTCAGGGGGGCCTCGGCCTGTGTCCCCTCAGGCCAGAAAGCACACGAGCTCTCAGCACAGGGGGCCTCCGTGCACCGACGGCAGGAATCGCGGGCTTTGTGAGGAGAACCAGGAGGGCCCAGGGGCTGAGCAGGGCTCAGGGCTGCTGGCCTCCTGAGAGCGAGGCTGCCCCATCGGCCGGGAGCCAGGCAGTTCAAGGAGCTGATTGGAACCTATGTCCCAGCGGGTGAGGATGGTTCCAGGGACTGAGAGCCTGGGGCCACAGGAGGGTCTAAAAGCCAAGATGAGAACAAGGCTGCCCCCTGGTGGGGGAGCGGGGAGCGTGCTACCTGCTGAGAGTAGGGCCAGCCCTACAGCCATCGCCCGGGACCGGGACTGACCGTCTGATGGGGTCGGACCACCCTCGTCAGAAAAGAGGAGCCAGCTGGGGCTCGACAACCCAACCTCCAAGAACACAGCATCCCGCCAGCCGCCAACCCGCTGACCAAGCCGGGGACAGCCGTGGGGATGGCTGAGATGAGGATGACCTTGGTGGGCCTGCGAACAGGTGGTGCGATGATGTGAGCAAGACTGAGACAAGCCAATGGAGTCACCAGATGGTCAGAATGGGCAGGGCTCAACCTCTGGGTCTAGAGCCATCTGCTGGCCGTAAGAGGGAAGGCCGGGTGAGTGGCAGATGAGTGGCATAAACACAGGCTGAGAGCGGGCCAGCTCCCCAAGGATGGGATGGTCCAATGGCTGAACAGCTACGGGCCTGCCGCCCATGGAGGGGTGACCTGGCTGCTGCGATGGGGCCGCCAAGCGAAGAGGCTGGGATGACCCGAGGACTGAAATGGAGCTGCCCTGGGGGCAGACAATGAAATGACCTGGTCACGGGGCAAAGGAAGAGACTGACGGGGCAGCAGCCAGAGGCTGGGAGGCGACACTGATGGCTGTTAGCTGTGCTGATGGCAAGGACGATAGGGGGGGGGGGTGAAGGGATGGGATGAGCCAGGGGCCGAGGACGGCCCCTCTGGGGGCAGCAGCGGGCATGCCAGGGGTCCCGCTGTCCG